CCTTAACCTTAAGCTGTTGCCCATTCAATAGGTAAGAAGATTGGATTTTATTTTTCTTTCTACCAAATGTAATCTGAAAACATTTGTCTATATTTAAATCTAGTAAGTTCTTCTTGCACCACTCAGATAGGCTATCCAAATCCCCCTGCAGAAGGCCAACATCAAGCTCGCTAACAATAATCGAAAATAACTTAAGGTCGTCCGCAAACATCAAAAACTCGCAGTTATTTAGGTGTTCTTTTAGGTCATTAACAAACAAACTAAATAGCAAAGGGGAGCAGTGCCCCCCTTGGGGTACTCCAGAACTGACTTTAATAATCTTAGAATGAAAAAAAAAGCCAAGTAACCATTTACCCAATCTTTCAGAAAAACCCAAATTAGTTAACTTCTTAATGAGCAACTCATGGTTAACCCTGTCAAATGCCTTGGAGAAGTCGGTATACACAGCATCCACCTGATATCCCCTCTCCAAGGTATCCGACAGTTTACTGTGGTAAATGAGCAAGTTACAGTGATGCCAGGTCTGGTGAAATTTCACTAAATCTGGTGATTATATGAAAAATCTGGTGATTGGTGAAAAACTTTTTGAAAAATGGCAATTTCTGGTGATTTTGAAATTTCATCAATTATAAATATTTTTAACAATGGCATACACTTTATAAACATCCCTCGTAATGTATTAAAATTTTACTTCATTAACATAAAAATTTCATTTGTTTGACAGAAAACCAAATGCCCATAAGTGGTGTGTGAGGTCCTTTGATTTTTATATAAATTTGTATTATTTGTTCTTTTAATATATTTATATGTATATGTTTTCGTTTTAAATTTCAATTTCTGTTTATTCAAAGCTCTTGTTGCTATTGGCTGGTTATTTTTCAAGTTGGCAACATGTATTTTGTTTGGCCAGTGGCGTTGCTTATGGGGGGTTTCAATCAAACCAATCGAAACTCGAAATTTTTATTTTTCATATTTTCGAAATTTTAACTTCTCCAATTGATTCAGCGCATTTGAATTAATCGAAAAAAATTCTTACATCACTTTCAAAATGGCGGTTTCAAGAAGCTGAAAAATCTCAATTTTTGTTCTGGAAATTTTTTCAAATCTTGACAAGGTTAGGAATAATGGCCAATATCTTCAAAAAAATTTGAACAATTCAAAACAAATTATATATGGTTGGAAAGAGCATTAAATTCTCTATAAATCTATGCTAAATTGGTTCTGATAACTCGAATACTTTCTGGGCAATTGGATCTCAAAGTTAACTGTTGGTCCAAATTTTATCAAAAATTTCAAACTCGATTTTCTCAAAAACCATAAGAGCTAGCGATATTAACTAAATACCATTTTAAAGCCATTGTAAAGAGTTACATTTCCTGAAAATTTTAATTCAAAATCTTTAATAGATTTTAAGATACCCAAGATCAAATATTTTGAAATAAAAATCTAAAGGGGTAACCCTTTGAAAAATTCGAAATTTTTATTGTTCATATTTATTAAATTTTGACTTTCCCAATCGATAGAGCGGGTCTAAAATAGTCGAAAAAAAAATCTAGCATCATTACAAAATCTTGATTTCAACACAGAGAAAAATTAAAAAGAAAATCTCAATTTTTAGGTTTAAATTTTTTTTGAATCCTGACAAGGTTAGGAGCAATTGCCAATACTTCCATTACATTTTGAGCAAATCAAAATAAATTATATATGGTTGGAAAGGGCATCAAATTCTCTATAAATCAGTGCTAGATTGAGTTTGATAACATGAACACTTTTAGAGCAATTGAGCCTCAAATTTGTATTTTAGTTAAAATTTAGTCAAAAACTCGATTTTCTCAAAAACCGTAAACGCCAGCGACGTCAACTAAGTACCATTTTAAAGCTCTCATTAAGAGCTACAATCCTAAAAAAAATTGATTCAAAATCTTTGACGGGTTTCGAGGAAATTGAGTTTGAAAATTTTGAAATTAAAATCCAAAGGGTTTTAGCCTTTGAAAAAACCGAAATTTTAATTTTTCAGATTTTTTGAATTTTGACTTTTCCAATCGATAGAGCTGTTCTAAATTAGTCGAAAAAAACTCTAACTTCATTTCCAAATCTCGATTTCAAAAGGAAAAAAAAAATCAAAAAGAAAATCTTAATTTTCAGATCTAATTTTTTTCAAAATTCTGACAAGGTTAGAAGCAATTGACAATACTTCCATTGAATTTTGAGCAAATCGAAATAAATTATATATGGTTGGAAAGAGCATCAAATTCTCTATAAATCAGTGCTAGATTGAGTTTGATTACTTGAACACTTTTAGAGCAATTGAGCTTCAAAGTTGGATTTTAGCAAAAATTTAGTCAAAAACTTCAAACTCGATTTTCTCAAAAACCGTAAATGCCCGCGACTTCAACTAAGTACCATTTCAAAGCTCTCGATAAGGGCTATAATCCTAAAAAAAAAAATTGATCCAAAATCTTTAACGGGTTTCGAGAAAATTGAGTTTGAATGTTTTGAAATTAAAATCCAAAGGGGGTTTATCCTTTGAAAAAATCGAAATTTTTATTTTTCAGATTTTTTGAATTTTGACTTTTCCAATCGATAGAGAGAATCTAAATTAGTCGAAAAAAACTTCATTTCCAAATCTCGATTTCAAAAGAGAAAAAAAATCAAAAAGAAAATCTCAATTTTTTGGTGGACAAGTAGAATTCCACTAGAATTTTACTTTCATGACGTCAGGTTGCCTAGCAACAGTGATCATCGCCTGTAATATACGCGATAAATAGGTCGAGGGTGACGTCATGAAAATAGAATTCTACTTGTCATGATCCCAGTCCAGGATTGCTTCAAGGTTCACTTAGTTTTTGATAAGTAGTAATCTTATCGCTTGTCATAAATGATATTTGACATTTTGCCCAAAAATGTTTATATAATTACTGTTATGGAAAATTTGAAATTTGCAAGGCCTACGTGGGCTTTTTTTTTATATAAATTCGAGCCTCAATGATTGACACAATATTTGACACAATATTTGTTATAAGTTGTAGTTGGCAACACTGCTTGACAAGGGACAAAGTAGGGATTGCAAAATTTTAAAATTTAAATATGATGCCCTGTAATACCGACATTGCAATACATATATGTTTCCAAAGCCTACTTGGTTTGATATAAGCCCATAAGGCGAGAATTTTCCTCAAAAATCAACTTTCAAGATTTTTGGTGATTTTTCATTCGAATTTCTGGTGAATTTAATTTTTTTGACCTGGCAACAGTGGCAAGTTAGTCAGTGTGGACCGACCTCCCCTAAAGCCATGTTGCTCATCTATAATAAATTCCTTACATTGCCAGGCTAAATGACTATACATCAAACTGTCAAAGACCTTAGGAATAGAAGATTGAATAGATACACTACGATAATTTTTTATGTCACTTCTTGAGCCAGATTTAAAGATAGGTGAGATGTAACTCTTTTTCCAAATTTCAGGGAAAATTGATGAACTCAATGATAAATTAAATAGCCCACACAAAGGATGAGATAATGAATACCTGCATTGCTTCAGAACTACATTTGGTATCCCATCAGGCCCTATCATTACTTTATTAGGTAAAGAACCTAGTTTATCAAACACCTAGTCCACATATAAATGGCTATAAGACCTGTCTGGTGTTGTTGAATTATTATTAGTGTAAACAGATGAAAAGTGATCCGCAAACAAGTCAACAATCTCCTGACCATTTGTAGCCAAAGAATTATTAAGAACCATATTTTTAGGAATATTACTCGATGTTCTTTTCTTATTTATAAATTTCCAAAAATTTTTTTGGGTTACAGGTGAGATCCGTATTTATGGAGGCCACAAAATTTTGATAACATTCCTTGGTTAGTCTTTTACATTGCATCCTCAACTCACAAAATTCAAAATAATCTCTGATATTACCTGTTATCTGATATTTTTTATGTTTGCTCTTTTTAAGAGAAATCAATTTTCTTAATTCACTGGAAAAATAAGAGGGAAAGCCAGATGACCTAAACTTCTTACGAGGTACAAAACAATGAATCCCATAGTTTAAGATATTATAAAATTCGTTTACCACACTATTAATATTACTATTGCAAAAAATAGTAGTACCTATCTCATTCAGGCCCTGATAATTACCATTTTTAAAATCAAAATAAAATTCCTCCACTCTAAGCGAATCATATTGAACATTTTTTAAAATAAAGCTACAAGCATATAATACATGATGAATAGAATCACAAAATAATGGATCAATTGCCTTTTGGCACAATCAATTGAGTTGTCATTTGTAAATAATAAGTCCAGAAATACATTTCTCCTGTTAGGAACAGTAAACATTTGATACATATTGAAAAATCCATAAGTTTGAGCTAGATATAATGCAGGTGAATTCGAAGAACATACCACTTCCACCCCATTTTCTGCATTAGACCATTGCACCCCTGGCAAATTGAAATCTCCAACCATAAAATACTCTGAGCCTGGATGTGCCAAACATATTTCTTCGACTGCTATACAATGGTTGCTATAGTACTCTTCTGGTGATCCCGGTGGAATATAAACTCCCCCCACTACAAATTCGACTCCAAAATATTTGCATAAGACAAAAATTTGCTCAAAATTATTCTCCATTTTCTTTATAATTGATGCTTGTATACTATTTTTCACCATTATCAGCACTCCACCTCCCCTAATTTTTGTTGTCACTTGTGCATTTCTGTCAGCTCGAAATATATTATAATTCAGCTCTCAGTCAAAACAATAAGCTCCGTTAGTTTGGTACGGAGCCCCCCAACATTCTGGTAATATAACTGTAATGGGGTCACATTTAGTTTTTTCTTCTTGTATTAGTGGCTCGAGTGTCCTTCCGCATTACCCTTGGGCACCCATTCATGTAACGGATGACATAGGTATCATCCCCATTTTCATCATTCTTGGCATTTAGTTCCGTTATAACTTTTTTAAATTGTTCTCTTTGCATCAAAGTTTGATCATAATTCACCTTATATAGGCAGACTCCAGCAACTTCCTTTTAGCTTTTACTACTCGTTTCACAAATGATGGATCGGTGCATACAACTTTTAAGGGCCTATTATAGCCTTCCTTTTTCGTACCCAACCTAAGAACCTTATCAATCACTTCTGCTCCATTGACACTCTGTTGTACATCCAATAGTCTGCATACCTCCTGAACTACTTTCTTATCATCCTCAATTCGTACAGACAACTCATCACTCTGTGACTCCTTTGCATTAAAAATAATAAAATTTTTGGATTTATTTGCTCTTTCCTGGAACTCAGTAAAGATCTGTTTGGTATCAACCTCTGTCTCACCATGTGTACATTTTTGCATCTTTACCCCTTCTAACTCCCTTTTAATACCCTCAATTTCCTCTTTGAGGTCCTTTATTTGCCTAACAAGAGCAGGCGCAGCTCTGAAAGCTTCTCTGCAAGTCTTACAGAAAAACATCAATGTGCGTTTTTGTATCACAGCAGCTCGTAATTCAGACGCATTCAACCCTGTGCACGCTTCAACAGGGTGCATGATAACGTGGCAGCTATCACAGCACACCACTTTTGTTCCATCCGGTATTTTTTCTTCGCAAATATCACATTTATTATTAGCCATGTTTATTCAGTTCCAACCTCACTCTCACAAAACACCAAAACAACTATTTACCTCTGCATAACTTTAATATCCCTCTTCTTAACTTTTCAAATGGTGCTGAAAGCCATCCTATCCAACTTTTAAATCCTTGAATCATTTATCTCCAATGGTTTTCGAGATGTTGAGTCTCAAAGTTGAAACCTTAAAAAAAAAAGTGACAGAGATAATGTGTTTAGAGTATTGAAAAAAGTATGAGAATCAGGCTGTTCATTTGTACTTGTTATCTGCTTGAAAAGTCAGAAAGATCTGCTATTTATGAGTTTATTATATGGGAGTTATGGAACAAGTGAACGCAGTACAAAGTAGCCTTGATTTTTTTCTATAGTTCCAGAACCTTGTTCTTCATCCTCCAGTGAACCTCCTACTACTGATTCTGATCAAAGCCCAGCCCAAACTAGCTCCTATATAAACGAATCTGAATCTAGAAGTGCCACAAACAGTCAAAATCCTGAAGAAGCAAATTCCTTAGATCAAACAGTAGATGGCAAAGTTTTCAAGACACGTAATTGATTGTTTTTAGTAGTAATTTTTTTTTTTTAATAATTTTTCTTTGTAGGATTTGTATGTAGCGACCCAAGCCTTCTAAACTATACTTCAGTTGGTAATTTATTTATAAATGAAATTACCAAAGTTCCAAATAATCAATATACTGTGGGTTACCTACGAATAGGACAAGGGGAATCGAAAAAGGTGGCCAAAAGTATAAAGTTTTCATTTGTGAGTTATTTTGTGTGTGAAATTTTTCATATTCATTCATGTTTTTCAATGTTTTAGGTTTACGTAGTCATTACTGGAGCTGCTGAAGTTACAATTGAAAGTGAAATTTATATAGTTAAACAAGGAGGGTATTTTTCGGCGCCAGTTGGTAAGTAATAAATAATCTTTTTAATTATTACTCATTCAATATTCAATTTTTAGGTACTACATACTCAATTAAAAATACTAGTTTGGATTCGTACCTAAAAATTCATTTTACCAGAATAAGGGCAATGGCCGATAATCAATAATTTATTTTCTTTGTTTCAAACAATTATTTGGTTGATATTAGATGTGTTACAGTGTTGCCACAGAAATCACAAACCAGTCATTGGTTGAAACTGGTTGGTGATTTCTGTGCGGCGAACAGACCTAGTGTTAATTTCATTAGAAGGGCATTTTATTATTACTATTATGGCGAATGAAGTCTTAAAGCCTTCCTGGGCTTATAACTACATATTTGCAGACAAGAACTTCATTTGAAAAAATAATAAATAATATACCTATTCTTAGTATAGTTTTCAATTGTATAAATTACCAAATCATTTTTGTTAAGAAAGTGACCCTAACTATTAAATATTTCGTTTTATTTTGTTAATTATGAAAAAATATTCTCATCAAAAAATTAAACAGAAAATCTTGCAAGGAACCCCCTTTTTAGACAATAAACCAAAACCAGTGAAGTGAAGCATTTTTTTGGGAAAATCCACATTTATTTAAAAACAACCTGGTTCTCAGTAATTTTCTCCCAAAGCTGTATTCTTGAATTTCTGGGAGGAGAACTTGCTCAGGAAGTGGACGTGGTTCACCTCAAAAAGGTATATGTCATATTCTTGAAAATAGGACAGTGAAGACGTGTAAGTTCCCGGTGTAGTGTTTGAACCTTGATTTTATATTAATTTAATTTATGAATGTACTCCCCTAATGTCAATAGGACAGTCATAATTTAGTGTCTTTTTTAATAGAATTAACGTTCCCCAGTTATTAAACGTGTATCATTTAGAAGTCTGGATACATAACATTATTGGCGACGAGAAAGCAGCTCGAAATCCGCACGCCTAGAAGTGATTTGAAGAGAAAAAGTCTATAACTGTGAAGTTTAGCGTCTGGAAACCAAGTCCGTTCGTCCTTTTGCTATTTTTTTAGTCGAGTCAAGAGTCAAACAGTCTATAGTAGAGTCTGTAAAACATAAAAAGCAATGGGTTTAGTCGGAAATATTGAACAATTCAACCCCAAAGAAACCGAAATTACCGTATATTTGGAAAGGTTGGAGCAATTGTTTGTTTGAATGCAATGCTGTGGCAGATAACAAAAGGGTGTCCCTAATCACCCGGATCTTCCGGTTGAATTTTTTTTTTTATTAGCCCGGAATTTCCGGATTATTATTATATTATTATTCGTCCGGATTGTTTTTTTACTTGTATACCAGTTTACCAGCAATCCAGTACACTTATATCCAGTATTAAATGAACTGTAATGAAACTAACCAAAAATATGCAAACTAGCCCAAACTAACCCGTTGCATGTATTGAATTTAGAAAGAAAAACAGCGCGATTTGCGCGCAAATTTTCAAATTTGAACATGCTCATTTTGTTCTCCGAGTTTTGCTCCGTTTTGCTCCATTACCAGGAATGACCTAGAGAGCTCCAAAGAATCTCTTCTTGCCCCCCAGTGAAAATTTTGAAACTTGAAATTTCGAGTTAGTCCGAAATACTTCGCCTCCAATTTTACACATTCGAGCGAACATAGTTTCTCAAGCTGCTTTCACTTTCCTCGCCTGTTTCCCCTGAAGCACCTGTAACTGATTTTCAAGCGTTCGAGTGCAAAGCGCATTGGGTTTAATGGGCGTGAAATGCTCGTGCTTCGCACACTGCACCCGAAAGCGGCTCTGGAATGAACTAGACAGCTCCCAGGAATCTCTCCTTGCAACACGTGTGAAAATTTGGAAGTTTTGCTCCATTACCTGGAATGACCTACGAGCTCCTAAGAATCTCTTCTAGCCCCCTTACACCAGTTAAAATTTTGTTTTATCATATTCATTCTGTTCTCCGAGTTTCGCTCCGTTTTGCTCCATGATCGGCGAGTTCTGCTCCATTACCTGAGCCTGAGCTGCTTTCAGGTGCCACGTACGCTTTGAGCAATCAGGCGCTCTGAAGCTGCTCTCATTTTCCTCGCCTCTTTTTCCTGATGCACCTGTACCTAACTGATTTTCAAGCATTTGAGTGCAAAGCGCATCGAGTATAATTGCTATGAAGAGAACGGTCGTCCCTGGTTTCACTAGCTTTGTTTGTTTATTCGCACCAACAAGGCACCAACCGACACTTTCTACACCAAACGTGTTTGTTTATCCAAGGTTTATTCCTATATTTTTTTTTTTGTATGGGTCTGACAGAGACAAACTGACTTTTTGGTGCACCTGGTGCAGACTGGTGTAACTTTGGTACAAATAGACAAACAGAGCCCGCAAGAAGCCCTGTTAGTTAAAACTAATTTCGATCCTTTTTTTTTCACGTGTCTCTAGAAAAAGACAGAAATAGTCTAAGTACGCACTGAATTTACAAATGGGAATCGCTTGCAAAAATAGTTATTTATGTCATAAATAAATACCGATAATCAAGCTCGTTTGCTCGAGCGCCCATGTTCGGAGCAGTGAAATGTGTTCCGAATGATTTTATATTGACATGACAGTGCAAACCGATGAGACAAAGATGGCGCCTATTTTCAAGTGAACAAATTTGACAGACGTCGTAAATTATAGGGACAGCCTTTTATTTTTCCGAAATAGCTATTTATGGCGGTGATCTTTTTTTAACTGTCAGTAATGTACCCAGTTACTTTTGGTGACGATGGTATTTGCTGCAAATCGTTCCAAAATCAAAATTCAGTTTACTGATTTACTGGCTTGGCAAGCTTTTGAAATCCACAATGACATATGCGCATTTTCACCGATGTAATGCTGTCCTTGTCATTTGACAGCAGCAAAACAAGGATAGGTTACTCCTCATCAAGAGAAATGCGCATAAACAATTGGTGAATTCAAAAACTTGGCCTTCCTTCAAGAACCCTAAATCTTAATAGAATGGCTTATCTAGCTGAAAGTGTCTGCCATGTTCACGCGAAAACTCCCCACCATTTGTGCCATTTTGACGTCAATGTAGACCTCAAGACTTCAGTGACGTCACGACTAGTCGAAAAGCGAACGTACGCCTTATGCCTCATTCTCACTTGCGCGAAATTCGCTCTTCTTTTGACATTGTTTCGACAATTTGACGTTTTATGCGTGTATCAAACGTCAAATTGTCGAAGCAATGTCAAAAAAGAGAGAATTTTGCGCAAGTGAGGCTTTATGGGGAAAAGCCATTCTGTTAGTTGAGGGTTGTTGGCCTTCCTTTATCCAATTTTCTTGCTCTTTCTTTCTGTTCCAAACCGTTCCTTGTTCACTTTGGAGCAGAACGAGTTTATCTGACGGCCGTTCCCATAGCCGCTTTCCAGTATGGGAGTGTAACGCGCCAGAGCTACTCGGGGCGTTGAGCCCCCGAGCTGTACGTACGCGTCAACCTATCAGCTGTCACATCTGTGGGTGGCTATTTATCTATTTATTTCTTGTTATATCTCAAGATTGAACATTTTAAAATATATAGTTTTGATTCTCTTCCATTTTTGATAAATAAAAAAATAAACTGCACAAACAAACAGATAATTATTTTTAAAATTTGACATATTTGACACTGAGACAGGCGTCTCACGTCATGATACTGGAACGGTACAAATCTAGTGCGTGGTGCCCCCGAGGTGCTCTGGAGCGCGCTAGAGCGCGCCTATGTGCATACTGGAAAGCGGCTCAGTATGCACATTGGCGCGCTCCAGAGCACCTCGGGGGCGCCACGCACTAGATTTGAACCGTTCCAGTATCATGACGTGAGACGCCCGTCTTAGTGTCAAATATGTCAAATTTTAAAAATAATTATCTGTTTGTTTGTACAGTTTGTTTTTTTATTTATCATAAATGAAAGAGAATCAAAACTATATTTTTTAAAATCTTCAATCTTGAGATATAACAAGAAATAAATAAATAAATAGCCACCCACGAATGTGACAGCTGACAGGTTGACGCGTACGTACAGCTCGGGGGCTCAACGCCCCGAGTAGCTCCGGGCGTCAAACTCCCATACTGGAAAGCGGCTCATATTACATTAGTTGTATTCCTTTCACACCTAGGAGGAGCTCCGGAACAGCTCCGGGGCGTTACGCGCTTATTCCTTTCGAAAAGTGTGTGTTGCACCCCGCTTCTTTCCCTTTAAAATCATGTTGACTAACACCGGAGCGAGTAGCTCGAGTGTTCCAAACTCTTGAAAGAAATACAACTATTATGAGTATAGTCCGCCGCAAAAATATTGAAGGACCGAAGGAGTGCGACCGCGAACACACACAACTCCTACGCATTATTTGTTGTCCTTTTCTAGTCAACAGGCTATTAAGTATATCTCGATCGTTTTGGTAGGCTTGCTAGGTTCATAAATCTGTCGCTATGAGTTCTGTCGCATTGGCTTACTCTTCCCCTTCAGAGGGCGTCCGTTAGGATCTGTGCTGTGGACTTCAACAAAGGCGGAACACTCTTTCTCATGGAAACGCTGCTCCCCTGTTTCAAGAATAAGGACCCTAGAGGTCATTCCAAGTAATGGAGCAAAACTCGCCGATCATGGAGCAAAGCTCGGAAAACAAAATGCGCATATAAAAACTCCAAAATTTTCACCCATGTTGCTAGAAGATATTCCTCGTAATTCATTCTAGAGTCGCTTTCATGTGCAATGTGCGAAGCACCTGGAGCATTTCACGCCCATTATACTCAATGCGTTTTGCACGCGAACGTTTGAAAATCAGTTACAGGTGCATCTAGGGAAACAGGCGAGGAAAGTGAGAGCAACTTGAGAGCGCCAAACTCTGTTCGCCCGAATGTGTAAAATTGTAGCCGGAGTACTTCGGCCTAATTCGAGAGCGTTGAGCGCTCAAAGCGTGGCACCCGGAAGCGGCTCGTCATGGAGCGAGTCATGGAGCAAAACGAGCTGATCATGGTGCAAAATAGAGCAAGACTCGGAGAACAAAAAGAACATATTCAAATTTAAAAAATTTCATCGGGGGGGGCTAGGAGAGATTTTTGGGAAATCTGAGTCGCTTTCCAGTATGCACATTGGCGCGCTCTAGAGCACCTCGGGGGCGCCACGCACTAGATTTGTTCCGTTCCAGTATCATGACGTGAGACGCCCGTCTTAGTGTCAAATATGTCAAATTTTAAAAATAATTATCTGTTTGTTTGTGCAGTTTGTTTTTTTATTTATCATAAATGAAAGAGAACCAAAACTATATATTGTAAAATGTTCAATCTTGAGATATAACAAGAAATAAATAAATAAATAGCCACCCACGGATTTGACAGTTGACAGGTTGACGCGTACGTACAGCTCGGGAGCTCAACGCCCCGAGTAGCTCCGGGCGTCACACTCCCATATTGGAAAGCGGCTCTTTAGGTCTCTCCTGGTAATGGAGCAAAACTCGCCGATTATGGAGCAAAACTCGGAGTAC